GGAGTCAGGAGCTTCTTCCACATCTCCCACGCAGGTGCAGGGTCCCAAGAACTTGGGCCATCCTCTGCTGCTTTCCCAGGCCACAAGCAGGGAGCTGGATGGGAAGTGGAGCAGCTGGGATTAGAACCGGTGCCCATATGGGATCCCGGTGCATTCAAGGCGAGGACTTTAGCCGCTAGGCCCGTAATCTGTGGTTCTGATTCTACCATCTTAACATGAGTTATTTTTGTGCTTCCCAGCTTTAACAGTCTTTTCATTTGTCTATTTCCAATGGTCTCACCAAGGTTAAGACCAATTTCTTTAATTGCTTAAACAGTTGAGTTATGTAGATAGAGACTGTGATGTCTATCATGAGCTTGACCTTAGTCTCCCTTTTTCCTGGGTCCTGCAGTTCCCTATTCTGAGAAAATGCAATCTTCCACCTGAGCTTGATACCATATGGTTTGGACACCAGAACATCTGTTGCTTAAGATTTTCTAAAGTAATCTCAGTTGCCACTGAGGACAATGAACTTCTGCAAAAGAGAGCTGTCAGTCAGGGATCTCCTTCAGCACTCCGAGCGTGGTGTCATTCAGCTTCCTTCTGAACGTGGACGGGAATGTTGGTGTCCATTCAACTCCACTCTGAAACAGCTGTGTTCCCTTCCGGTTGTGCATACGCTTCAAGAGGCACCTTTGGACACAAATAGCACCTAAGAGCAGGACTACTGGAGTGATTTCCATTGTTCCTGCTGGCAGGATTCCCCTAACAAGGTGTGCCTGTGCCACTTGCCCAGTGCGAGAGCTGCTTCTCATCAGATTCACACAGAAGAGAATCTTTGACCAGTAAAATGCTAAAAGGATTGTTGCATCATCTTTTCAAGTCCCCACACCATGGCCCTAGAGAAGATCACCTAGGGCTTTATTTCCATTTTCTCCTCTGTGATAGAATTGCATCAAAAACAAAAACACCCACTGTGTGCTTTGGCTTCATCAGGAAAGTTCTAGGCAGCAGCTCCAGCTTCAACCCTGCATTTTTTTTAAATGTTCATTTATTGCCACCTTGCAGAATACAACCCCCATTTCATAGCTACTGTACATCCCCTCAAATGAAGTTATAATACAAAATCAACAATAGAAAGAAAAATCGAAATTTACAATGCCATGAAGCTAAATAACATGTTACTAGATATGACAGTCTCCATTACACAACCAATATGCATCCCCTTAAATGAAGAGCCACAAAACAAAATCAACATCAGGAAGAAAAAAAAAATTAACAACACCATGAGGTTAAATAACATGCTACTAAATGACTAACGTGTAGCTGAAGAAATGAAAATCAAGAACCTTCTTGCAGAAAATGATGCTATTGTATGATCTGTGAGTCATTGAGGATTTTAATCAGAAGACAAAATGTTTTGAAGAGATGAAACTAACAGAAAACATCAAAGCCCATGCGATCTAGATTTCGCTGATTTTTGTTGGTGAAATGTGTCTCTTCTAGACAACAAATAGATGAGTTTTGTTTTTTAATCCAGTCTACTAATCTGAAGTTTGATTAAGCTTAAGCATTTAACATTCAGTGTTAATATGTATGGGTGGTACTTTGGTCCTGTCATTTTCAGAATGAGTTGTTCATTGGTTTAGGCTTCTGTTGTCATTTTACTGGGATGTTCTTCCCATTTGCCTTTGGTTTTGTTGGGTGCTTTTTCTCTTCTTTGTCAAGATAACATCTTGAAGTATCATTTTTAGGACAGATTTGGAAGAGCTGTGAAATGGAGACTAACATCCAGATGTGAGGATACAATGTAGTATGCATTTCTACTTCCAGACAAAGATGGACTTACAATGAAACTGTTTACTATCTTGACAATAGGATGCTGGACTCTGCCATTGTCCATGCCTGCAATGATGGACATATGACTATGCATGAAGAACTATACTTTAGTAATGATATAGAGGGACTGGGTGGGGGGGTGGGAAATTGGGGCTGGGATAAGGGAAATACCAGGAGCCTGTAGAACTGTATCATAAAATGATGATAATAGTAATAAAAATTTTTTTTAAAAGAAGGAATTACATATACTAAGGAAAGAAATAGAAATATATACATATAAAAGAATACAACTCCTGGTTGCCCACGGGGAGAATGCTGGTTTGGAACTTATCTGACTTTCCATTCATTTCAAGGACTTCACTTGCTGATAGTATGTGGCAAGCAGCAGCTGGGGGCTGTGGAGTCAGCTGTTGGGAAGATGCATTTGATACAAAGCACCTAATTGTCAACAGAGAGCCCCAGTGTTGAGAGCAGGCACATAAAGTCAGATCAGCCCACATCTGGATCAGTACTGCCCAGGCACTTGGACCTCAGGGGAATTCACTACACATCTTTGAGCCATAGTGTGAACTGGAGTCGTGCAGGTAACCATGATCGTGTGTGATTTTTCATTCTAAAAGAGGTGAGGTGTAGCGTGGTCCCATTTATGCTTCATTCTTCTCCAATGTTGCTTCTCAGGCCTTCAGCCCCTCTGGCTTGCTTTCAGTGCCTTGAAGAGCCTGGGCTCTTCGCACCTGCTGTTTCTGCTGCTCAGATGTGTTCCTTGGCTAACCCTTGCTTGCGTCAGTTACATCTCACACATTGCCTCCTCAGAGATACTTTTCATGACCCCTCACCAGGACCTGCTACTCTCTTCATGAACTTTCTTTTTTGTTCTTGTGTGTGTCTTTAACTTCTTCTCACTTAAACTTATTCAGGACTGTAAGTCTTGTATTCACACAGGAGTTCAAAGAGTTCAGAGACACACATGTATTGAATGAGTGAATTAAAAAAAAAAAGATTTATTTTATTTTTATTGGAAAGGCAGATTTACAAAGAGAAGGAGAGATACAGAGAGAGATCTTCCATCCACTGGTTCACTCCCCAAATGGCTGTGATGGCTAGACCTGAGCCAGTCTGAAGCCGGAAACCCTGTTCTCCCACGGGGGTGCAGGATCCTGTGAACTTGAGCCATCCTCTACTCCTTTCCCAGTCCTAAGTGGAGAGCTGACTGGAAGAGGAACAGCCAGGACATGACCTGGGACCCGTATGGGATGCAGATGAGGATGAATCCTTGTGCCACTGTACTAGCCCAGAATGAACCGAATTAAACAAGATATGTCCAAAAGGTTACAGATACGGGGACTGGGATAGATGTACAACAAGCTAACCTCAGCAATTACAATTTTGTACTTTTCATTAAAATAGGTACACTTTAGAAGTGAGCCTGAAGTGTTTACATTTACAAAACAAACTGGCTTTTTAAACTGATAAGGACAGATACTACACTTGATCTTAGCCAAATGGCCGAGAAGCGATACAAACTGGCTTTTTAAAGTAACTGATCTAGACACCTAGTCCCTTATCAAAAGTGAGCTTACCAGGGCCTGGCCGCCGTGGCCTAGTGGCTAAAGTCCTCCCCTTGAATGCGCCCAGGATCCCATATGGGCACCAGTTCTAATCCCAGCTACTCCACTTCCCATCCAGCTCCCTGCTTGTGGCCTGGGAAAGCAGCAGAGGATGGCCAAAGGCCTTGGTGGGACCCTGCACCCGTATGGGATACCCGGAAGAAGTTCCTGGATCCTGGCTTCGGATCAGCATAGCATCGACCGCTGCGCTCACTTGGGGAGTGAATCATCAGACGAAAGATCTTCCTCTCTGTCTCTCCTCTCTGTATATCTGACTTTCCAATAAATAAATAAATCTTAAAAAAAAAAAAAAACAGTGAGCTTACTGCCAACATTTACAAAACAAAAACTCACTAGTAAGTTTAAAAATGCACGCCTACCTCACTCCCCCCACCCACAAGATTTACCAAAATGTCTTAGGCGTGTTTCCCCCTGGCCAAAGTATTACAACAGTTAAAAAGAGCACCGCACAGGTGCGTGAGTTTCAGAAGAAGAAGAAGTTATCTCCACCCTGTACAAGTGCCTGCTAGATTGGACTCCGATATATGTGCAATACGAAAGGTAAAGTGGGGTGAGGGTTGGTAGACTAGGACCGGGTGCGAGCAAAGAGTGATCTTGCTGGGCTCATGTGGACTCATGTGGCGGCTTCAAGGCATGTTCAACGCCTGGCCCAAGTGAGCCTCTGAGCTTTTCCGGACACTCTGGTGGCTCAAGCAGGGCAGGGAAGACCACAGCACAGCATCCATTTCCTCCTCTTCAAGCAATACTGGAAAATCAGACCAAGGCTAATCACAAGCAGCTTCTCATGTCAGGACTAGGAAAAGATGTTACCTCGTAAGATCTCTACATAAGGCGACCCAAGACTGGCAGTGGTTTAGGAAGAAAGACTAATTTGGGGAGATCAGAATGCAGATTGTTTTAAGAGTCCAGACATAAAGGACAGTGCAGAGTACAAAATCAGGGGGAGAAGCAAAAAGACTAAGAAAGGGGTGGGGGATATTAGGATGGGTGTTGTGGCATAGTGGCATGGCACGTAAAACTGCTGCCAGTGACTCTGGCATCCTAAAGGGGTGCCAGTTTGAGTCCTGGCTGTTCTACTTTCCCCCCTACTCACAGCCTGGGAAAAGCAGCAGAGGATGCCCAGGTGTTCGCGTTCCAGCCACCTGTTTGGGAGACCTGGATGAAGTTCCTGACTTCTGGGTTTAACCTGGTTCAGCTCTGACCATCACAGCCATCTGGGAAGTGAACCAGTAGATACCAGATCTCTCTGTGTCTCTTCCTCAATCTCTTTTTTTTCACAAGGTAGACATGCACTGTGTGGGGTCAGAGACTTCTTGTAAAGCTAAGTGGGGCAGAGGAGCTGTAACCAAAGTGGCACAGGGGCCGTTCACATGGTTGTTTCTAACATGTTCGGCCCGGAGGATGCAACTGCTACGAGCCTCTTCAAAATAATAGTCCTTGTGTCTCATGGCCTCAGCAAGAAACAAATGATAAAGGCACTGTATCTTTTAAGAAAAATCCCCTTTTGTAGTACTTCCTTAAAAGGAGCTACTTAATGCAACTCTGCCAGTGTCTTAAGGATCCTGATGCTAAAGAAACATCTTGGTACAGGATTGAAGTCTGTTCCTGGTAAGTGTTCAGCTCACACTGTTCAGAAAACTTCACACTAGCTGTTTGCTGGCTCTCTTTTGACCTAGTCAATATTTCACATTGTCTACCTCTTGGGTGGCCAGAAATGTTGACCCATCGAAATGATCGATAACTTTCTCAAACTTTCTTTTTTTCTTCTCTTCGGGCTTCCTGCCTTGACTGTGTAGTCTCATCAAGTATGTTTGTGCAGGTTCATTCTAAGTATTAACTGCAAGATAATCTGTGATTCAGCAGTGAGGAGTTCAGGGAAATAGATAGTCATTGGCATGATTTTTTTTTTAATTGTACTACTGTAATATTCATTAGAGGCCAATCCAAACACACACAATCCAAAGATCACAAAATTTTGTGATTTTTTTTCTCATGGTTTTTCTCTTTTTTTTTGTATCATTTCACAAAACCAAATGGAACTTTAATGGTTGACATGCTAGATTGAGATAGTACAGATTTGTTTCCTTTTTATCATTTATGTGTGTTGTGTTCTGTATAGTTAAATAGTGTTTCATGTGAATCTGAATCTGTGTGTTTATTGTTTACCTAAAATGGAATCTAGGTCCTAAAGGAGCTAAGGAATTTGATCATGAAAATTGTAGATCAGAGTTCTTACTCTAGAGTTCCTAGGAAGTCTATGGGTTAAATGAAGCTTATAAACTATTTTATTTGTAAGTCAAATCCATTTCTCACAGGAAGAAAGCAGAAATTGTGCCAGATTCACAGAAGGGAAAATGTTGTAATTAAAAAAATTTTTTTCTGCTTCACAATTTTTAAAGATGTAAATACTTTTTTAAAAAAGGAATTTTGAAACACATAAATATTCACCTGAGTTTATTTCTCTATTTTCTTATCAGTCCAGATGTTTAGGCAATTAAATCCACATAGCTTTTCTTTTTAAGCATCTTCAATGTTTTGTAATGATAGAAGACTAAACATCTCTCAGAAATTTTGAGGAAAGAAAATTTTATGCTTTTCAGAAAACTTAAGTGATGATCTTTTTTTAACTTAAAGAATTTCTAAAAGTATTTTTTAGAAGAGTCTTAAATTCATAAGAAAATTAGATTAATTTTGTTTTTCTCAAAATTAATTTTTTTCCAGGATTGTCAATTCATTAATGAAGCATGGTAAGTTAATATTCTAAAAACCTTTATTCATCTTAAATATGAAAGTATTTGGGTCAAACAACAAAATAATTAAATTGTTTGCAAAGACATTCAATTTTAGAGACATGAAATCTATAACATTTCATTGTATAATTTTCAAAAAAAGATTTATTTCTTTGAAAGTCGGTGTTAGGGAGGGAGAGACAGAGATCTTGCATACTGCAATGGGCCAGGCCGGAACCAGGAGCCAGGAGCTCCGTTCGGGTGTCTCTTGTGGGTGGCACGAGTCCTAGCACTTGGGACATCTCCTGATTTTTCTAGGCCATTATTTGGGAGTTGGATTGTAAGTGGAGCAACCATGCCACCCCAGTGTTGTAGGCTGCAGCATTACTTGCTATGCCATAAGGCTGAACCTGAGTATTTAATTGAATTTTTTAAAAGATTTCTTTTATTTTTATTGCAAAGTCATATATACAGAGAGGAGGAGAGAGATCTTCCATTTGCTGCTTCACTCCCCAAGAGGCCACAATGGACAGAGCTGAGCCAATCTGAAGCCAGGAGCCTCTTCCAGGTCTCCCATGTGGGACCCTCTTCCAGGGTCCCAAGGATTTGGGCCGTCCTCTCCCAGGTCACAAGCAGGGAGCTGGATGGGAAGCAGGGCTGCCGGGATTAGAACCGGCGCTCATATGGAGTCCCGGCGGTTCAAGGGTACTGTTCTGGTCCCTGTTTTATTTGATTTTATCTACTACTGTTAAAAGACTTATTTATTTTACTTAAGTCAGAGCTACAGAGAGGGAGAGACAGAGATTTTCCATCCACTGGATCACTCTCCAAATGGCCTAATGTCTGAAGCTGGGCTGATCCAAAGCCAGGAGCCCGGAGCTTCCGAATGCAGGGATCCAAACACTTGAGCCATCTTCCACTACTTTCCAAGGTACATTATGAGGGAGACAGATTAGAAGTGGAGTAGTCAGGACTAGAACCAGCGAGCATATGGGATGCCAGCACTGTAGATCACAGCTTGGCTCACTATGCTACAGTGTGGCCATGATGCTGGGTCTGTTCCTTTAAAGATACTAGCGACTTTGGGCCCGGCGCGTGGCGCAGTGGCGCAGTGGCGCAGTGGCGCAGTGGCACAGTGGTTAAGGTCCTCGCCTTGTACGCCCGGGGGCCCATATGGGCGCCGGTTCTATCCCAGCAGCCCCACTTCCCTTCCAGCTCCCTGCCTGTGGCCCGGGAAAGCAGTCGAGGACAGCCCAAAGCTTTGGGACCCTGCACCCGCGTGGGAGACCCAGAAGAGGCTCCTGGCTTCGGATTGGCATAGCATCGACCATTGCGCTCACTTGGGGAGTGAATCATTGGACAGAAGATCTTCCTCTCTGTCTCTCCTTCTCTCCTCTCTGTATATCTGCCTTTCCAATAAAAAAATAATAAAATAAATCTTTATAAAAAAAAAGATACTAGCGACTTTAGAAAGTTTATGGAAAGTGTCTTCAAAGGATAAATGGGGCCCAGAGTGGTGACGTAGTAGAATAGTTCTCCTACTGTGGCACTGTCTTCTCATATAGACACCAATTCCAGTCTCAGCTGCTCAGCCTGTGATTCAGTTCCCTGCTAATGGCCTGGGAAAGCATCAGAAAATGGTCCAAGGTCTAGGGCCCCTGCACTCATGACGGAGATTCGGAAGAAGCTCCTGGCTCCTAGCTTCAGATCAGCTTAGTTAGCTCTGGCCATTGCAGCCAAGATGGAAGGCCTCTCTCCCTCTCTCTCTCTGCCTCCCTCTCTGTAACTCTTTCAAGTAAAATAAATAACTCCTTTTAAAAAAAAGATAAATATAAGCACTTCTCTCATGAGGTTGTTCACATTCATGTGTTGAGTGTGTGCTATTTTTTTTTAAGATTGATTTTTATTGGAAAGGCAGATTTCCAGAGAGAAGGAGAAACAGACAGAAAGGTCCTCCATCCACTGGTTCACTCCTTAAATGGCTGTGACAGCTGAAGCTGAGCCGATCTGAAGCCAGGAGCCAAGAGCTGCTTCAGGGTCTCCCACGTGAGTGCAGGAGCCCAAGGACTTAGAGCCATCCCTCACTGCTTTTCCAGGTCATACATGGGATGGGAAGTGGAACAGCCAGGATACAAACCAGTGCCCGCATGGGATGTCAGACAATTACCCTTTTGAGCCGCCACACCAGTCCTGATCACATCAGGGATTTTTAAAAACTTTTTATTGATTGTAATCTACAATCAGTAAAGGCAGAGTGACCAGGAGACAGAGATGAGTCTCCTTCTGCTTCGTTTTTGAGATGCCCCCAGGGGCGTGGCCCAGGCAAAACCAAGAACAGAGCTGAAGCCAGGTCTCCCCCCGGGGGCCAGGGACCCAGGCACTTGAATCCTTGCCTGCTTCCTCCAAGAAGTTCATGGGCAGGAAGGTCGAACTCGGGAAAGTTGTGGGGGAGGCATCCTTGGGGCATCATTTTTTGTTTTCCTTTATTTATCTTCATTTGGCCTGTCTTTAAAAATTTATTTGAAAATCAAGAGTTACAGGTGAAAGTGGGAGAGGCAGAGAGAAGTCTTCCGTCTGCTGGTTCACTTTTTGGCCACAGAGGAGCGGAGGCAATCTGAAGCGTCAGGGGCCAGGAACTTCTGGGTCTCCCACCTGGGTTGCATGATCCCAAGTGCCTGAGCCAGCCTCCACGGCTCTCCCAGACCATCAGCAGGAACGATAATGGAGCAGTCAGGACTCAAGCCAATGTTGGCCCCACCCCATATGTTTTTTTTTAAACATTTACTTATTTGGAAAGCAGAGCAGGAGCCAGAGTATAGTGCGGAGAGCTAAGTCACCAATTGCAACGAAAAATGTCAGTATCCCAAGGCTGAGGGACCTTCTTGACGAAATGCCATTTGGGATGAGGAAGGTACGTTTCGCCGAGTCTTCCTTAACTCCGGAGTTCTGCTGTTATTTCAACAGACTTGCACTGAACAAGACAAGCTGGGTCAAGCGTTTGAAGATGCTTTTGAGGTACTCAGGCAACATTCCCCTGGACATTTCCAGTTCTCCCCAGGTAACGCTGAGCCATTAGTTAGCCCTCTTCTGCTAGCTGGCTTTGCGCGTGGCAGACACCAGACAGTGTGACCAGAATCGTGAAGATCAGTGTCCCTAAGGCGTTCAGGGTCAATGCTGACAAAGGTGACACGCATGTGGAATGCTTGAGCCTGTAAAAATGTTAAAAATCCCACATATAAAATTGCAGGCAATCTAGAGACTGACGTTTCATATGTAATCATAAAGATGTAATTATCTGCTATTTAGAATATCATTTGGCATTTATTGATTTTATGGAGATAACATTTTAATTATTTACAAAGCACTTTTCAATGTTCCTGATTGATCTAACAAATATCCCATCCACAACTATGCTACTTGGCAGAATAAGTCCTTTTTTTTTTTTCTTTTTAGAAAAGATTTAATTATGTTTATTGGAAAGCCAGATATGCAGAGAGGAGGAGAGACAGAGAAGATTTTCCATCCGATGATTCACTCCCCAAGCGGCCGCAACGGCTGGAGCTGAGCCAATCTGAAGCCAGGAGCCAGGAACTTCTCGAGGTCTCCCGCATGGGTACAGGGTCCCAAGGTTTTGGGCCATCCTTGACTGCTTTCCCAGGCCACAGGCAGGGAGCTGGATGGGAAGTGGGGCCACCGGGATTAGAACCGGCACCCATATGGGATCCCTGTGTGTTCAAGGCCACCACGCTATTGTGTTGGGCCCAATATGCACTTTTTCCCATTTTTTTAAATTATATTTTTTAGGGTAAAAAGGTTCAAGGGCTACATGAAAGTAGATAAGACTATTATTTCCATATTGTTTCCTTCATGTGTCTGAGGTAAAGGAGGATATTAAGGGAGAAGCCCCACCCAGTCTCCCACCCCAGGTCTCAGACGTGGGGCATGCTCTGTGATTCTTGCTCAAGTGGTTTGTTAGTTCACCAGTAATGAGTTGTTGCCATTCTCACCACTCCAAGCACAATAAGGTCTTTGAAGAATACACCGATTGACATAGTCCATCTTAGAGTCTCCATTTGCCCAGTATTTCACTGCCAGCATATAGCTGAGGTGGTTGATTGACCTGTTCTGTCTTCTGTATTTTCATGGTCAGGGTTCTAAGTCCAGTATTTCTATTGGGGAGATCTCCAAAGAAACTGTCTGAGGTGTTCTCAGACCAGATTCTTCTTTGTACTAGCAGGTACAGGGCTCGGCACAGTCCATCACCCCGGTCAGCTGGTGGTTGCAATTGCTAGGTTGGTTCTGTTTTCATCCCAGACTTCCACTGGAACCAATGGGTGTTGCAGTCCAGCCTGGTTCTGCCCAGCACATACTCGGCCCTTGCATAAACCAGTGGGAGCTGCAGCCTAGTTGGAGCGACCCACAATAACTCCACGAGGCCCGCCCCCCTACCTTGGTTTGCCAGTATGTGTAGCAGACTAGTCCAGTCTGTCCCACATCCGATTCGGCTCTCATACATGTCAATGGGTATTGAAGCTTAGTTCTATCTAACCAGCTCAACTATGCAGCCCTCACGGTTGTAGTTGGGTGCCTCTCTGTCTAGCCACCCCAGTCCCCGTCCTAGTTTTCGTGCCCTCGCATGAGAGTGGTAACCCAAGAGGGAGGAGACCACTATTTCCCTCCCAGGTCTCTCTCACTCCTGGAATGCACTCTCCAGGTGGTTCTGAGGTTTGACTTGACAGAAATAGCCCCCAGTACCAGCTTCTGCCAGCTGATGCTGTGGCTAAGCCCAAACAACCCTCACCCACTCTAATTTTGTTTGCACCAGTAGGAATAATCAGCCCAGCCTGGCTTTTCTCTGATCTAGTCCACATGAGGCCCATAGGTGTTGTATCCCTGCTTAGTCTGGTCTGCCCCCATCCCAGCTCATGCTTTCCAGTGGGAGTAGCTGTCCAGCAAGGGAGCCCCAGCCCCCATATTCCCCCTGCCGGCTCTGCCCCCTCCCTTCCTGGTTCTCATGTGTGCTGTTGGGCGCTGTGGTCACTTCCGGTACAGGTAACCTCACCTTGACATTCTGTATTGTGCACTGGTTTTTATTGTGACCGAACCTGACTCGACCTACACTCTCTTCTGGTGCTTGGATTTGCCAGTGGGTGATTTGAACCGATTCAGCCTGGTCTGCCCCCGACCCATGCCAAATGTATGCCAGTGGGAAACTTTCCATGGCCTGTTCTGGGCTGTTTCCTGTTATGCTTCTTGCATTTACCTGTTAGGTCTGTGTCCTGCCAGAGGAGTTGCCCAGGCTCCTTTATTAGAACCTCTCCCAATGCTAGATTTTGCATACCAGGGGGTCCATGAGCCAACCCTACTCAGTTCACCTCCTGTCCTAGCAGGAACAGTGGTTTTTCCGACTGGCCTTCCACCCAAACTGGTTCTTGCTGTTGGAAGTTTCAGCCCAGCCATGGCTCGTCCATACCCGCATAAGGCTCACACATGACTCAGTAGGGGTTGAGACCTTTCCTAGTCCGTCCCGCATCTACCCTGGTCCTCCAGGACACCAGAGGGTGTTGGAGTCTGGTCCGGCTCGGTACGTCCAGTCCCAGTCCACAGTTGTACCAAGGGAGGCAACAAGTGTATCCTGATCAGAATGCAGCCCCCATTCCAGGTCACACGCCCCTTGGTGTGGGAACCTCAACTCAGCCAGGGTGTCCCCTTAGCTCCCTAACCGGGCCTGTTCCCAGCCATAGATCAAGCTGTGACTCAGCTTGGCTCAGCCTCTCACCTGTCCTGACCCCTGCCTTAGACACTGTGGTTTAGCATCCCTGGCTCACGCAGACCCGTAGGTGCAAGAGCCTAGCTCGGCACGACCTGTGCTCCATCCTGGTTTCTAGTTTTGCTTGTGGGCTAAGGTTTATTCATTTATTTTTTTAATAAGCTTTTTGGAAAAATCCTTGTGTGTGTGTGTGTACGAACTGATGTTTCTGTTTTCAATTAGATTACAAAAATTACCTGACTTTCGTCAACCACTGTCCTTACGTCAGAGGAACTGCCAGCTGCTATGATGTGGTGCCTGCAGAGGAGCCTCTTCATGGTTGGAGGACCATCATGGTGAATGCCTCACCTGGGGACATTGTGCGGTGGGGGGTGGATGTCCTCTTCACACCAGCTTGCCTTTTGGCCTGTGCTGGCTTAAATCCGACGGCTGCCTGTAACAGTGCTGACAGCCCCGGGCTTGCAGTGACAGTCAGCAAAGGCTGGTGATGGTGGCACAGCAGGCTACTGGCCTACCTGTGGCCACTGGCAGCTCCATCAGGTGTTAGTTCATGTCCTGACTGCTGCCGTTCTGATACAGCTTATGGCCTGGGAAAACAGCACACACACAATGGTACAAATCCCTGGGACTCTGCACCTGTCTTGAAGACCCGGAAGAGGCTCTAGGCTGCCAGCTTCGGATTGGCTCAGTTCTGGCCATTGCAGCCATTTGGGGAGTGAACCAGCAGATGGAAGATCTTTCTGTCTCTCCTTCTCTCTCCTTCTCTCTCCAATATATATATTTTTTAAGATTTACTTACTTTTATTGGAAAGTCAGATTTACAGAGTGAATCTGAGCTGATTCGAAGCCAGGTGTCAGGAGCTTCTTCCGGTCTCCCACACGGGTACAAGGTTGCAAGGCTTTGAGCTGTCCTCGACTGCTTTCCCAGGCCACGAGCAGGGAGCTGGATGGGAAGTGGAGCAGTCAGCATATGAACCAGTGCCCGTATGGGACCCTTGGCTATACTGACTTTAGCTACTAGGCTACTGTGCTAGGCCCAAAAATATTTTTTTTAGAGTATGAAATCCCTACTTCCACTTCAACTCTGACCCTCTAGTATAGCCCACACATCTTGTGGTTGGGAACCTCCTGCCCTGTTGGACAGCCTTTTGGCATGGGTACAGGCTTAGTGATTTTTAGCAAAAAGAGGAATATTTGTATTCCTGGTTCTGGAAGTACATGGTGGTGAGTCAGCATCCGATAAGGATCTTGCTGACCCTAGCCAGAGCCAATGAGCCTGGGTGTACATCTCCGCACCTCGTGGCCTCTCTTCCTGTCCCTCTAAAGCCACCAGGACACAGCTGTGGGGACTCCAGTCCAGTCACCTCCCGAAGACCCCATCTCTGACCCCCTTACTGCTTTATCATGGGGACGAAGTTGCAACACGGGAAGCCTAGAGGACATTGAAACCATAGCACGACCCCATTTGCTTTCCCACGGGGTGAGGAGGACATGGAACTTCCTACACAGCTGAGGAGGAGTGCGCTTGCCTCCAGGAGCTAGTGGTTCCATCCCGGGAGCGTCTTGCTGTGGCTGGCCTGAGTAACTTCAGAACTTGGGAGATGCTTAGTCTTCCCTTTGCTTTGGCATTTCATTATAGTTGTCAGTTGGAAAAAAATCCCACTTAACAGCCTGCTGCGTCCTTTCTGTAGAACAATGCTGCGGACTTGTACCTGGAAGGGAATCTTCACCACGCTCAGCAGCACATGACAGAAAACCAGCCAGGACAACCTGCTCTCCTCCCACAGAAAGGAGCGAAAGGTCAGTGATCACTCCTAGCTGCAAGATTGTCCGCAAAGCGGCGATTAGGGGATTTGATATCTGAGTTTGGAACTTGCAAAACACGTTATCGACATTGCGAATACTTTGACTAAGGCTGGTTGAGCCACTCTAAGCCATTTGTCATGGGTAGGACTTTTTAAAAAATATATATATGCATTATATACTAATACATTTATTCCTGTCAATATTTGACTTCTTTTAAGATTTATTTATTTTTTTATTGGAAAGTCAGATATACAGAGAAGAGGAGAGACAGGAAGATCTTCCGACCGATGATTTACTCCCTAAACGGCAGCAACAGCTGGAATTGAGCCAATCTGAAGCTAGGAGCGCTTCCAGGTCTCCCACGCGGCTGCAGAGTTCCAAGGCTTTGGGCTTTCCCAGGCCACAAGCAGGGAGCTGGATGGGAAGTAGAGCTGCCGGGATTAGAACCGGCGCCCATATGGGATCCTGAGCATGCAAGGCGAGGACTTTAGCCACTAAACTATCGTGCCAAGCCCACAGTTAAGACTTTTTATTGCTTCAGAGAAGTTGTGAAGCCACAAAGTATGACCTAGCTAAGAAAAAAATCTTACACTCTTTTTTTTTTTTTTAAATAATAGAAATGGGAACTTTTTCAGGTTATTTTAGCAATCATTTTTCTTTTTTTTTAAATTTTTTTATTATATTGCATCATGTGACACCGCTTTACAGGCACTGGTTTTGGGGAGGGGAGGAGGGAATCCCAGAGCAATCATTTTTCAATGGTAAAGTCTTTGGAATAACAACCCATCTTTTATTGGTGGTTTTTTTGGGGGGGTTTTGTTTTGTTTTGTTTTTTGTTTTTGCAAGAGGTCATATAAAACTTGGGCATTTCTTAAGTTGAAAATTGTGATTTCACAAGTGTAAGATAGATAGTGGCCTTGCTGACTGGTAAAAATGTTGAAGTAGAAGGGTAACCTCCATGGCAAACACGCAAGCCACTCTGGTGCACTGCTGTGGCAAGGCTAAGTGGATACAAAGATTTGTAAAGCAATTTGCTATTTCCTAGATAAACCCACACATTCAAGCCCGTTGACAACTCATGGTTGAGTGAGGTGTGGATTCATTGTGCAAGCTTGTACTGAACTTAACCCTCCTGTGTCACCATTTCCTTATGAAAAAATAGTAATCAGATCAACATTATAAGATTGCTTCAAAAATTAAAAAAGAAACTTTGTACAGTGTTATGTTCATTGCCTAGCACTGTGGATAACTTCTGAAAATACCATAGAATGTGGGTGTGTGTGTTTAGGCGTATTTTAGACTGTTCATTGCAATGTTGTGTGTGATAGTAAAGAACCTGAAATTTACTATTCTGGATGTATCAGGGGCTAAGCAGTATAAGATGTATACTATTTCTTTTTTAAGATTTATTATTTATTTGTTTGAAAAGCAGAATTAGAGAGAGAGAGAGAAAGTAAGTAAGTCTCCCGTCTACTGGTTTACTTCCCAAGTGGCTATCATGGCCAGCGCTGTGCCAGGCTGGAACAGGAGGCTGAAACTCCATCCAGATCTCCCAGGTGGGCACAGGGGCCCAAAAACTTGAGCCACCTTCTGCAGCATTCCCAGGTGCATTAGCCAGGAGCCAGACTGGAAGTGAAGCAGCCATGTAGGACACTGGCAACAGAGGCGGAAGCCCTACCTGCTGCAGCAGATTCCCAGCCCTGATGCATCCCAATTTAACAATGCAATTTTAAAAACCATAATCATCATTAAAAATTATTTTCAATGAGTATGCTTTACAATCTAATATTTTAATGCATCTTAGATACATAAAAAAATCTTTACGACAATGGTGTGAAGAAAGCTGAGCCATTCACTTTTTTTTAAAGATTTATTTACTTCTATTGGAAAGGCAGACTGGATTTATGGAGAGGAGAGACAGAGGGAAGACCTTCCATCTGCTGGTTCACTCCCCAAGTGGCTGCAATGGCTGGAGCTGAACTGGTCAGATGCTGGGAGCCAGGAGCCTCTTCCGGGTCTGCCATGCAGGTGCAGGGTCCCAAAGTTTTGGGCCGTACTCAGCTGTTTTCCCAGGCCACGAGCAGGGAGCTGCATGGGAAGTGGAGCAGTCGGGACATAAACTGGCACCGATATGGGATCCAGGCACTTGCAAGGTGAGGATTTAGTCATTGAGTTATCGTGCCTGGCCCAGATTCATAACATTTTAAATATAACTTCTAAGCAAGGAATGTGTGCGATTAAACAGTGACTCAACTCCAGGTTATCGTGCCAGCATCTTTCCATGTGGTAAATGTTGCCTCTGGGGGACCTCATCCACCATCTTTCGTTTTGAGATGTCTTTGTTCTAGAAGAGGGATACATCTGAAAGAAAGCAATGTGACAAAAAAACATTTTTGGCATCTCATTTTGGGATTCAAGAATACTTCCGAAACTTTTTGGAGTTTATTTTGTGTAAAATTCTTTGAGACCCCTGCATAGTTTTTTTTCATAGTATACATTTTCCATGTTTTTTTTTTTGTCATGTCCTTGTAGAAAAGCCACAATAAATATAACATATATAGTGATTGAAAAGGTGTGAAAGCATTTCTCATGTATTCATTCAAAAAGAATTCTGAAAAATGCCTTAAAAAAAAGGATTTACTTATTTAACAGGATGATAGGGAGGAAACGACGAGCAGTAATCTGTCTGTTGATTCACTCTCCAACAAATGCCTGCAGCAGCCAGGGCTAGCATGGCTTGAGGCTGGGAGTCAGGGTCTCACAGGAGTGGGTAGAGCCAGATGCTTGGCCCATTACCTCTTGCCTCCTCCCAAGTTCATTAGCAAGAAGCTGGATTGGAAGTGGAATCAACCTGGCACCCCAGTACGGGAAACAGGTCAATTCCGATCCTTGAAGTTCCAAAATTGGAAAATAACATGCTCACTGAAGTTTTAACTTCAAGCAGTTCAGAAGTATATCTGTGATCAGTAAATGTGCACTTAATTTCTTGCCATGTTATACCCTAGAAGTCATCATTGTCACCAGTTTGGTATTTAATCTGCCTGTTGCTAATTTCTGTATTGGTCAACAATTTAAGATGTATTGAAGCTGTCGTGTAGTTGCTAAAGCTGTGGTCCAGGCATCCCATATGGGAACTGGTTTGAGAGCCAGCTACTCTGTTTCTGAGCCAGCTCCCTGCTAACGCACCTGAGAATGAGTGGAAGATCCCCCGAGTGCTCAGGCTCCTGCTCCCAAGGGAGGAAACTTGAAGACGCTCCAGAATCTTGTGTTTGGTCTGGCCCAGCCCCCAGCCATTGTGGCCATTTGGAGAGTGAACCAAATGGTGAAAACTCTTTCTCTCTTACTCTCTCTCTGTAATTCTGACTTTCAAATAAATAAAAATTTTTAAAAAATCAACAAAATACAAAACCACAAATAAAAAACATTAGCATAGAAAGAATGATTTTAAAAAATTATTATTTATTTTAAAAAGTGCTCAATAATATGATCTCTTCTGCAATTTAAAAAAATGTGTGTTAGATATGTAGAAAATAAGCAAGGTGCCTCGTTTTGAATCTTTCACCATGAGCATATTTTATTTCTAATTCTAAAAAGTAAAAATTCAAACACTTGAAATTGAAAACGTATTTTCAGAGGCGAGCCATCAAGCTTTACTGGACTGCTGAAGGGCTTTGTTCAATGTTGTGATTTAATTAATTCATGATGTGTTTTTTTTTTTATTATTTGGTAAGTCCCTTTCATTTCTTGATTCATAAACTCAAGATAATACAATACAAGAAATCGACTTTGTACAGAATGTTTTCGGTTTCTGCATGAGTGATGAGTAAGGATGATCACCCCCAGAGGCTGTCCGAAGCAGCTTGGGTCCCAGGGGTCTGCTTTCCCAAAGGGGGGTGGAATTTGCCAGTGGATTTCTCGGCTACTGACTAGAGCTGATGGGTACAGCGTCACAGGCGAAGGCAGAAGCCACGCTATGGGCTGCGACCTTCCTTCTCACAAGTAACTCTGGGCCAAAGGAATCCTATCAACGGAACAAAAAAAAAAATACAAGTTTCCTGTCTGGCTATTTTGAAATTCAAATGGCTCCATTCCTAAAAAGATCAGCAACTCCATTACTACCATTTTATTTCACAGAGAAAAAAAAAAAAAACAAAACAAAATTACCATGCCCTTTCTTCTTGCTCAGAAATAACAACACAAAGACATTTTGTAATTTCTACTCCAGTTCTTTTTTACCTTTTATTTTCAAGTATGAGCCAGTATTAGTATTTTTGCCCAAGTCGTTGTTGTGAGTTCCCAGGATAGTATATTCTGTTTGTGTACCGTTTAGCATTTTGCAAATGCTAAAAAAGTAGCTAAATGCTAAACAAGCAAAGTTAATGGCTCATCTCTGAAAATACCTTCGCAATTTCAAAATCTCCTTCCTCATGTATTTCCACTTATTTGAATAAAGCTTCCACAATGGCCTGCTTTCTGGAAATTATTTTTGACGTTTCTCATTAAAGCCACTTTGCGGTCCGTTGATTGTCCTGTACAGAGCTTAAGGTACCTGATGTAAAATTAGGGGTCAAGATTTATCCATGCAAAGAGTTCATAACAATGAGAACCCCAAGTGCCATGGCTCCAGGCCCCACCCCCACATGCCGGGAAAGACTGGGCAGAAATTTTGACAACTTCCATGAACAAAGAAAGGCTTCGTGAAACTAAGCCAAATAGATCCTTGACCTTCATATCCCATGAACGCATGCCATAAATGCATTCCTAAGGGGCTGCGTAGGAGGAAAACCAGTCCCAGGGAAGCTTTTAATTGTGTGATTACACCATGGCCCTTCCTGAGCAGATTTCTCTGTGTTCAACCGTGGTGGATTTCAGGGTGTTTCCCTCTTTGCTCCTTGCAGGCAGGAAGAAGCTCCGACTGTTTGAATACCTGCACGAGTCCCTGTGTAATCCTGAGATGGCATCCTGCATCCAGTGGGTGGATAAAAACAATGGCATCTTCCAATTCGTATCAAAAAACAAAGAGAAACTTGCAGAACTCTGGGGACAAAGAAAAGGTAACCGGAAGACCATGACTTACCAAAAAATGGCCAGGGCACTGAGGAATTATGGAAGAACTGGGGAAATTGTCAAAGTCCGGAGGAAGCTAACTTACCAATTCAGCGAAGCCGTTCTCCAAAGACTCTACTCACAGTACCACCAACCTGATCAAGAATGTCTCAGTCTAAATGCTTGGAATGCGAATCACAACTATACATATGTCAATTATCATGAATTAAGTCACCCAGATTGCTAAATGATCTTCTCTCATTTCATGGCATCTTGGTTGGGAAACTTCTACATGCTTCAAGATTTCTCTTGTACGACAGCTGCAGTAGCCACAGATTCAGCCAGTCGGGACTAACCAACCATCTGAAAACAACAACCACATCCAAAAAACTAGTATCATATTGTCAAGGTCTATTTAACCATTTGGAGTCCTTCTAGTGAGTAGCAGAGGCGTTTTCTGCCTTTGTCTATACCTGCAGTGCCCTTGATGCACTTTAATAGTAGGATGTTAATCTTGTGAATTACTTAACAACTATACTATTGTAAAATATCGGGGGATGGACCCAGTGTGGTAGTCTAGTGATCAAGGTCCTCTCCTTGCATGTACCTGAGATCCCATGTGGACACCAGTTCTAATCCCGGCAGCTCCACTTCCCATCCAGCTCCCTGCTTGTGGCCTGGGGAAGCAGTCGAGGACGGCCCAAAGCCTTGTGGGAACCTGCACACACACACACTGGAGACCAAGAAGAGGCTTTGAGCTCCTGGCTTCAGATCAGCTCAGCTCCGGCAATTGCAGCCACTTGGGGAGTGAATCTTTGGACGGAAGATCTTTTTTTCTGTTTCTCCTTTCTGTAAAATCTAACTTTCCAATAGAAATAAGTAATAAAATCTTTAAAAATCTACATGGTTGGGAAATGATGGGAGTGGAAAATGGGAGGGAGGAAAGGGGAGGGAGAGGGGAGAACCCATATACAAGATGTTATCATGGAAAATAATAAAAATGATTTTTAAATTACGTCTCTCCTGAACAACTTGTCATTATTCCCTAAGCAACACAAGTGTAATAGCTGTTTACATGGCATTTGCATTGTGCTTAGCACTCCACTACACTCCACTGTAGTAGTAATCTAGAGGTGGTTTAATGTGGACGGGAGGATCTGGTAAGATCCATGAGTCACTATGCCATTTTGTACCGGAGTCTTCAGCATCTATGGAGTTAGGTCTCCTACGAGGTTCTAGAACCAGTTCCTGGTGAGTACTGAGGAATGACTGTGCTAGGGAGACAGAGAAACCATTAATGTCACCGCCGCTATCTTTAACCGAATAGAATACATATACAATACACATGCCCAAGTATGGGACTAAGTATTCTCTATGCGACACTTACTTTCAGATGAACAGTGCTGACACTGAAGATTTGATTTGTAGGAAAAATCTTCAAAAATTTCTGAAGCTTGGCTTTCAATATTTTTTTTTTTACAATAAAGTTAGCGTATTACTTTTTAAATTTATTTATTTATTTATTGGAGAGACTGAAAAAGAGAATTCCCATTCATCTGCTGGTTTATTCCCCAGAAGCCTACAATGGCTGCAGCTGGAGCTAAACGAGGCCAGAGTGGGAGCTGAGAAGCGGCAGGACCCAACCACTGGCTCCGTCATCACCGCCTCCCGGGGTATACTTCAGCAGGAAGTTGGAGCTGCAGGCAGAGCCAGGATTTGAACTCATGCACTCTGATGTGGAATGTGCACATCTTAACTGCTAGGCTTGCCCCATAATTTTTTTTGAAAAAATAATACACTTATTTTGTTTTGTTTACACAGTTGAAAGGGATGTATGTCCACATGGACCACCAATTAAGGTGGGGAGGATGGAGGAATGGGAGAAAGTGGATTTCCTTTTTGCTTCCTCTGGGTAAAATGGAGAGAAGCAGAGAAGGCTACTCCCAGCAGGCCAACTACATCAGTACCCAGGAATGGGGGCAGGCCGCCTGATGTCCTGCCTGGGTCCCTGATGTGGAGCTTATTCCAAGCACACTGCTTAGTGGTCCTGCTAGTTCTGAGATGCTCCAAGGGTGAGGAAATCCTTCCAAGATCCACTGGCTGAGAGTCTCGATTCGCCCAGATACTTGCAGGGGGAGATGTCCAATCTTGTTCTGCCCCCCATGGCACTAGATGCCCTCTGCAAGCCTCAGTGAACAGGTTGTCAAATCTCTCACGAGCATCTGGGTATGCGGTCCACTGCATAGGGCTCAGCAAAACTGCAGATATCACGCACTAGATCTCAAAATATAATACAAAGATACAGTAATCAAAAGAGCACAGCAGGGCCTAGCCTAAGGGCTAAACTACTGTCTGCAGTGCTGTCATACTATCTGGGGACAGATTATGTCCCAGCTGGTCTCTTTCTTTTTCTTTCCCTTTCTTCCTTTCTTTCTTCCCATCTTTTTTTTTTTTTTTTTAAGATTTATTGGTTTTTATTGGAGCGTCAGATATACAGAAAGGAGGAGAGACAGAGAGAAAGATCTTTCATCCGTTGATTCACTCCTCAAGTGGCCGCAACAGTTGAAGCTAAGCTGATCTGAAGCCAGGAGCCAGGAGCCTCTGCCAGGTCTCCCACATGGGTGCAGGATCCCCAAGGCTTTTGGCAGTCCTTTACTGTCTTCCCAGGCCACAAGCAGGGAGCTAGACAGGAAGCGGGGCCTCCAGGATCAGAACTGGTGCCCATATGGGATCCTGACGTGTGCAAGGCGAGAAGTTTAGCCACTAGGCTATTGCACCAGGCCCCCAGCTGTTATGCTTCTAATCCATCTCCCTGCTAATGCTCCTGGGGGAAAAATTCCCTAATCCTTGGACCACTGGAACACTAAGATGAAGCTCCTGACCTTGGCCTAGCCATTGCGGCCATCTGGGGAGCAAACCAGCAGATGCAAGTTCTCTCTCCATCTCTCCTCTGTGTGTGTGTGTAACTCTGCTTTGGAAAGAAATAAAATAAATCTAAAAAGAGAGCACATGGTATATATTTACCAACTGAACAAGGCAGATGGCCCAGAAATTAGCTCATATATCTATGGCCAATTGATTACAATGGGGAAGGGACAATATGTTAACCAAAAATGTGTAGGAAAAACTGAATATTCGTATAGAAAAATGCAACTGGACAGTGTCCCATTTTTTTTTAAATATAAGAGTCACCTGTGGCTGGACATTGGAACCTGCAGAGGACACCTGGTACCGTAACAGAGGATGGAAGGCAGAACAAACTGATCAACTGCCCTAACCAAGTGTTGGCAGTGAGTGGGCAAACGGAGACTAAGGTGGAATACATCAACCAGTGGATTCTGGAGAGATTTCATCGTGCTTGGAGCGCCGAGATTGGGAGCAATTCAGACCTGTTGAATTATCAAAGCATCTTGAGCAGGACCCTCGGAGAGTCCCCCACAGCGGGGACCCTGGGGCGGTGTCGGGTGGCTGTCCTCCATCCCTGGGTGCAGAGGCGTTGGGGAGGCTGGGTGCGGCTTCTCCCTTTACCTCCCTCCTTCCCCCAGATTCCGGAAGGGAAAAAAAGAGAATGTGGAAATGGTGACCTCACCCACCTTCCTTGACCCTAATCAAGTATGTAAAAATCATCAAAAATAAAAATACTTGCCGAAAAAAAAAGAAGAATCACCTATAAGATTCTGAAACAACTTTAAGTGTCCTTTGAAAAATGGATTTCTTCAATGTTTTGAGTGATGCACATAGCCGCATTTCACTAAGAAGTAGACAGGCATTTAGATGGGTGACGGTGGATAAAGGCAGATAGACGTTGGAGTCTCTTCAACCTTAATGGAAGAAAATAACAAGAAATTCTGTCTTTTACAGCAAAATGGACGGATGAAGCCGCAAGACGTTTCTGTTAAGTGGAGTGAGTCGGACCCAGAGAAGTGAGTACCAGCTGGTGTCACGTGTGTGGCGTTTAAATGTTGAATTCACGGGAGAGGAGGGCACGGTGCTGATTCTCGGGCGCGGGAAGGCGCCCTGTGAGGGGGACGGTGATCCGTAAGCTGTAAAGTCACAGTTGCGTAGGAAGACTGGCTGCAGCTGTAACAGTGTATTGTGAAGATGACTAAGAGATTTTCAAATGTTCTCATCCCCAGAAAGGAATACTACTTTTCCTCTCATCCCTCATCGCTGCATCATGTATATCTCTATTGAAACATCACATTTTACTCTTCTTCTTTTAAGGATTTATTTATTTTTAGTGGAAAGTCAGATGTACAGAGAGGAGGAGAGACAGAGAGGAAGATCTTCCATCCGATGATTCATTCCAAGTGGCCACAATGGCTGAAGCTGTGCCAATCTGAAGCCAGGAGCTAGGAACTTCCTCATGGTCTCCCGCACAGGTATGGGGTTCCAAGGCTTTGGGCCGTCCTCGACTGCTTTCCCGGGCCACAAACAGGGAGCTGGATGGGAAGTGGGGCCACTGGGATTAGAACTGGCACTCATATGGGATCCTGGTGTGTGTAAGGCAAGGACTTTAGCTGCTAGGCTACCACATCGGGCCCACATTTAATTCCAATTACTAAATACAAAATTTAAAAAGATAGACATCCATGGATAACCCCCATATTCTGTTACCCCGACACTACAGATTTAGTTAATGGGAGCATTACTTTCCTTAATACTCCTACAAATCATTTCCTTGCACTTCGCCCTTGCCTGGGGTAGATCCAGGGGTTACTGCTTCTTGTTCTCCTTCCACTCAGCCACGGGGAGGTGCTGTTGTCCTGCAGTCACTCCACTGGCACAACTGAAACAGGGCCTCCTTTGAACTAATCCAGTTGAGGGAAGGCTAAAAAGGGTAGAAGGAGAAAACAAACAAAAAGAACTTTGATAATGGTAAAGATACTATCCAATAAGAAACTGGGAGATTGGCAGTTGGGTCCACCTAGCACAAGGAGCCCTGCAGAGAAACCCTTTCTCCTACCGCCCCCGTGGCAGGTCCACAACCCTGCATTGGCTTTGTCACAAAGCACGGAAGCTTTCTAGACTCCATGGGCCATTTCCAGTGTGGTCAGGCCAAGAGCAAGCGTGGGCCTTCACCACGGGATCTGAAATTTGGCTCCCTTCCTTTACACTATTTAAAAAAACAAACACACACACACACACATCTCAGCATTGTAGAGAAGTGGGTTAATCTTTCTGCAATACCAGCATCCTTTATGGGTGCTGGTTTGAGTCCCGATACCTCCACTGCTGATATCCCTGCTAATGTACCTTTCCTACTGATTTGGAGGTAAGTAGAGGCATGGTGCCAACACTTGAAAAATGTGGGAAGTAAGATTCAGAAAGGCCAAGCAATCTGTCACTGGCTGGACATCCAGGAAGCGATGGAGCTGAAAAACGAAACTTAGTCTGAGTTGAAGTATAGGGTTTCTTTCACTTCATAATTATAGCTTGCAATGATGGAATGTCCCAAAGCGAAAATCAGCACAAATTTGGAGCCAGAATTGCAGTTAACAGTCGAGGCTTGTACAGCCACGATTCCTGAGGTTCTCTTTGTTTGAATTTTATTTATATTGCAAGTAGTATTTATTTATTTGAAAGACAGGGAATGAGTGAAC